AAGAAAGCAATAGTATTGTATTTTCTAAAACAGGCTGATATATACACAAGCGCACGTGCTTGTGCACATATGCATACTAAATGTTTACTAGCTGAACAGATGGCTGGAAGGAAGCACACTTGTAATGATATCAGTTTAATATTTGCTTGACATTTCAAGCTGCAGACATGTGGTACAGGCAGTTACATATCAGAACAACTAACAATTTCCTCTAATCCTGTTTAAACATTTGTATGAGAAGTAACTTTCAACTGTTAAGAAATAATTTTAAGACTCTAATCACCGCCGTTGGACCAAAGTCGGTGAATAAAAGCAATGAGTTAGCGGGGGTCTCTTCCTGGCAGTAAGACTTTTTTAAGCATCGCCGCAGAGGCTTTCGGGACAAAGAAAAGTCCCCAGCAAAAATGCTGCATTCCTGTACAGAAATAGATACTTTTTTAAAGCTCTGTAAGCAGTGCAGTCTGTTTACTTGAGGGCATGGGGAGAACTGAGACATCTGAATTGAACATTCCCATGGCTGGGATTGCATGACACTGTGGTTCAGTGTGTTCATTGGAAGAAACGTCAGAGGAAAATAAAAGCCCAAGATTTGACAAGAATAAATGGAAAGGCATTGTTTTATTAGAAACGTTGTTTTATAGCTCACTGGTTTGTGATGTGTAGACATTTACTCTGGTGTAACTTATGATGTGCGTCTGTGATTAATGAGCAAACTCGAGGGAGCGCTTGGTGAAACATGCTGTTTGCTCTTTTGTTGGAAAAAGAAATTAAAAATGATCAGTCAGTTGGCTTTTCTCTCAGAGGAGAATCACTCTAACGTGTTCACTTTAGTGTTGTTGCTGATGATTAAAAGAAGTTGCTGCACATGGGCAACTCCAATTACTCTGAAGATTTGACAGCCAATTTATTTTTATTACTCACATTTAATGGTACAAATATCAAGAAGCTCTAGTGGCGCTTTTACCTCCAAAATTAATAAAAATCCAAGTATATTTTGAGTCCTCGAGGCTCAATGGGATTTACATGTCTAAATAAAGATTGAATGAATATGTCAAACCAGGTCTAATACATATAATCATAAAATTTACTCAGACTATCCCTCAGGTGTGTTGTTAATGCGACATTTGGTCAAAGTTTATTATATCTTATCATTTTAGGTTCAGGTTAGGTTTATTTGTCTTATGAAAAATCAACACAAGGTCAACAATGTAATGAAATGCGTAGGACGACAAAAAACATCTCGATTGGCCAAAAAAAAAAAAAAAAAATTAAACAAATGAAAAATAAAAACAACACCAAGAAATACCAAAGCATGCCGCAAAAATACAAAAAAAAAAAAAAAAACTATAGTATTTTTAGTATGTTTTTAGTATTTTAATATACTAAAATACTACTAAAATACTAAGATATGCTAAAAAAAATACTACTAAAATACTACAATGTAAAAACATATTAAAAAATGCTACTAAAATTAGGGATGCATAATATTATTGGCATGATATTGGTATCGGCCGATATTAGCGTCAAAGTTCAATATCGGACATCGACCATGCCATTAAAAATAACTCGCCGATATAAAAGACACTGTTTTTGCCTGCAGCAGCAGCACAACGCGATGACGTCACGTGCGCCTACCTGATAGCACAGCGGAGAGAAAAATTCAAAATGTCGGCGGTGTGGAAGTTAAATTTTTTGTTGTTGAGGATGTCGGATTCCGAAGATTTATGGACAACTTTGAGCCTCGTTATATCGTCCGCAGTCAGAGATATTTTTCCTACATAACGTTACCCGAGTTACAAGCCGTCATTTCTGACGTCAATGAGAAGCTAATGGCCAATAGCACGACTTGTTGGGTGAGATTTACCACAGACATTTGGACGTCGTGTTAGCCCCGTTAGCATGATTAGTCTTACGGCCCAACGGATAGACAAAAACTTTGATCTTAAAAAGTCTGTCCTTCATGCACAGGAGTGCAGAGGATCCCACACTGCAGCTAGAACCTGGAACAAGCGTCCACAAGTGAGACAGCATCGCAGGTGACTATCGCTAATAAATAACATTCAACACTTTTCATTTAATATAAGTTAAAGTGCTATGCATATCATATGACAGTTACTGAATATATGTCACCATCTCTTACAGCTGTTGCACCATTTTTATAGCAAATAAGCCTAAATAAGAGGGCTCTGTTCTGACAAAAGAATGTCTATAAAATCAGTATCGGCATCGGTTAACGGCCAAATAAGTTTTAACATATCAGCATATCGGATATTGGCCAAAAATCCAATATCGTGCATCCCTAACTAAAATACCAAAAACATACTAAAAATACTACTAAGGTACTAAAAACATATTTAAAAATACTTCTAAAATACTACAAAGCAAGGCATCATAGTTGAAAATGAAATACATCTACAGTGTGATTCAGTTAGAGGTGAGGTTCTTTCAACATCATGGATCTGTTCTGTTAGCTGCATGGTCTTGTTAGTTAGCAGGTCTTGTTATCAGCGTGATGGTAATAAAGACTGCAGCAGCTGCCCTCACAGACCGCAGTCCAGAACCGGGTCCGATAGACAGAGAACATCCCAGGTTTCCCCACAGAACCAAATGGGTCCATAGTGTGTATGCAGGCAGATGGAGGATCTTGTTAGCAGCGTTACCCGGTCTTGTTAGCAGGACCGATCAGCCAGCTTGATGGTAATCGGGACCGCAGTAGCTGCCCTCACTGACCGCAGTCCAGAACCGGGTTCGGTAGACAGAGAACATCCAAGGTTTCCCCATGGAATCAGGCGGGTCTGTCGAGTTCAGTCCATGCAGGCAGATGGGGGATCTAGCAGCGTTAGCAGCGTTAGCAGCGTTAGCAGCGTTAGCAGCGTTAGCAGGCCCCGCTAGCAGCTTGATGATAACAACGACCACATTTTACATAAATCATCATCATTCGTTTATACCAAGGAGGGCAGTGTGACTGTCTTTGCAGTGTGTAGTTTAGGAAACCTGATGTATTTCCTTCATAATAAGAGATCTATACTTTTTTAAATATCTCTGAATTTAAAGCTGTTAGTCAACCTGTGATGTCACTGTATCTTTCTTTCTTGCTGAGACTAGAACTCAGCATGCAGCAAGTCATTCACCGCTCTCATCATTGTTTCCTTTCTCCTTCATTTTTTGTACTTCCTGCACACTGTGGCTTAATCACCAGGTTTGTGCACATGCACTTACAGCATGACAGGTTTGTGTCTGCTTCTCACCCATTCGCTGAGCCTCTGGAGGAAATGCGGCACAAAGAAGAGACACCTTTTAAACTTTCCAAACACTTTTTGCTAATTGCTCTTGCTTGGTTGGCGCGCTCTCGATACACTTAAGTATTTACCCTCTTTTGTTATTAATGAAATTTACAGGAAGCAGCTGCAACTCCTGACAAGTCGTATTGTTTTATAGTTTGATTTAAATCTGTTCAAGTTGATTATTAAAAGAGGTGGATAATACTTACAGTGTAACCAGAATAGTATTCCCAAGGCTGCCTAAGCTAATGGCCACCTTTTGTCTCTTTTTCTTTTCTCTTTTTTTATTCTTATCCCACTCCTCCTTGCTGTTCTGCAATTAAAACTTTGAACCCCACTGCTTTTTTTTAAAGTCTTTGTTCTGCTGATACTGCACCATTAATCAGTGTGGAAGAGAATGGTTTTGTCAGGCTTGCGCATTTAGCCTGAAAGTGATCAAAAGACAGTTGTTAAATGTGGAAAAAAAGAACATAGAGAGGTTTAAAAATCTTTAAATGCTCAGCATTTAATACATTATCATCACATTTAGCAAAGAACAGACAGCCCGACAAAAATAAATAAGTTTTTTTTCTGTGATTTGCAGTCACAATTAAGTAAAAATACAACATCCTGATAACCCAGTGTCAACAAAAGAGCCATTTTTTTTAAAAAACGGTGCAAATGATGAATTTCAATAACACAGTATACCACGTTCAAATCATATTCTATCGTTTTTGTTTCTATTGGTAACAACAAACAGTGTCACAAAATAAACAGTACTTTAATAACAAAACTGCTTTTATCATGACACTTAACCAGAGCACAAAAATACCGAGACATTTCTTTACGAAATGTTTCCTCGGTTTTGATCAAATCAGAATTCAAAAGTTAAAAGGCACTTTCCAACTCACACCTTACAGCTACAATATAAATACATCTTCTCACTTTAGTGCACAATGCCACTATTATACTAACAGAGGGTCTGTTTTAAACCATTCATTGAGCACTTTATCCAGCTTGATGAGTACTGAGGTCAGATGTTATGCTTGAGTTTTCATTTAAAAAAAATACAGCCATTCATTTGACACATTTTACACCTAAATGCCTCCTACATCCTGTACATCAACCAGTTTGAAAGAGGAAAACGTTGTGCACCAAACATCTTTCAGAATATTGAATATTATTTAAAGCTTGTGCCCCTGAAGCTTTAACGACGCTGCTGATATCAGAGTCAAGTGTTGATTTCTTTGCTTCAACAGCCATTTGTATCAAAATTACCTTGCTGCAAAACAAGCTTAAGCTCATTGCCTTTATAATCTCTGTACAGATGACAAAAAAGGCAGTAAACCATTTAAAATGTCGATAAATTGATTGCACTGACCATTAACCGAGCAGAAATCAAAGCATGGATTAACGGGTGCCATGATCTCTCGTTACCATGAACACGGGAGACATGGTTTAAAGACAATCCTGCTGCTGAAAACAGCTCACCCTTCATGTGCATTCGGGATCATTAAATGTTTGTAGAATCTGCTACAGGAGAGGATTGTGTTTTTTAAATTATTTTATACCGTTGACAGGAACAAATGAGCATTCAGCTGAATGTCGAAGGCTGGAAAAGTCAGACAGTGTGAGGAAAATAACACACTGTCGTTAGGGTGGGTGTTTTTTTTATTTTTTATAATATAGCAACAGATGCAAAATCTCATGAATGTTGTTCTTCCAGTAAGAAACTGAGTGACAGTTGTGTGGTGTATTGCTACACCATCACCTGCAGTCTGAATGTCTCTGAATGGGACTGCCTTCATGGGTTGAGTTTGTTGAGTGATGACTGAGTGTTGCTTGTTGAGTTGTAGTTGTTTGAGTTCCTCCCTGCTTTGCTTTCTATCCTAACGTGGGAGGCGTTAAGAGGACTCCTCTTCAGGGCTTTATTGACCAGAAAGCTGCAGGTCTTCTTGTACTGGTGACGCAGCAGCGAGTAGACAAATGGGTCGCTCGCTGCCTTGCTGTAGGCCAAACATTTGGACAAGATGCCCCAGTGAGGACGTATAGACTCTGGGGAGAAGAGCTCCACAATCCTATACCAAATAAAGCAGAAACAGGAAGTGAAGTCACACAATCTGAAGAGCAAATGCATTAGTATCTCTTAGATTAGTGCAACTGCAGTGGAAGACGTCTAAAGCATGATATGAAACGGCAAAAATAGTAACATCACTTCACTCTGCAAAAATGTCTTCACAGATGTGTGTCAGCGTTCTGATTCTGGGCCTCTCGCTGAATAAAACATCCCCATTAATTTTTGTTTTCAAGCCAAAAAAAAAAAGACTGAGAAATAAAAATCGAGCTCTACTTTGTTTTTAATCCATCATAACCTTTGACATGTTCAAAATAAAGCAGTGAAATTGTTTAAAATGTTATAAGAAAACCCTGGAATTAATTAATTATGAATATTACATAAAAAACACTTGACTACATATGTTATTTCCAAAGGGTTTCCTACGTTTTATTTAATATGTTTTATTAAATTGATATATTGCCTATGTTGTGCAACAAGGAAACCTATAAAACAGGTGAAATATATATAGCATGTGATGGACACCTCTCAATCATAATTTCTCACTGAAGCAGGGAACACATCCTCATAGATCTCTGCTCACCTTGTAATGACATAAGGTGTGAAGCAAACCACGAATGTGCCAATGAACGTGCTGATCTTCTTGGTGGCCCTCTGCCTCCGTTGCTTCTGCTCCTCCAGGCATTTCTGGCGAACACTGCCAAAGCACACAGGTAGACATTTATCCTCAGTCCAGGGGGATGATCAGAGACATGCAGGCAAGATGGATGGATGTGGGACATGAAGAGGACAGTCATGTGACGTGCTCAGTCATCTCTCAGCATGAAATAATTAAAGGCAAGAAAATGGTCAAGTCAATTAGAAGCTATTAAACCTTAATTTTCTGACAACAAATGTAATTCAAACAAATCTAAGCACATAAACATATTTATTGTAATTTGATGTGTTTTTTGTGAACAAAGATGTTTCAAATCTTATGGGCACACGAAACATTCTTACTAATGAACATATTAAAATATTGTTGTTGTTTTTTTGGTGAAAACAGACCCTTCTGATAGTTAGAGTATTTACCTGGGGTGAATATCCACCAGCAGCACCAACGTCTGCATAGTGATCACATCGATGCGTTTGCAGTGAAACCTCGCCACTTTCAGCACTTTCAGGTAGGTTACACACATCACAACCAGTGTGAGAAGGAACGTGAGAGCGTGCAGAGCCACCGTGAAAACCAGGAACTGCGTCCCAGCTCCTTTGGCGCGGGCACTGCAGAGGGTGCACGATGCGTAAAGCTGGCTGTAGCCCACCCAGGAGCGACAGGTGGCCACCAAAGCGAAGCAAAGCGAGTGGATCCAAGTGTATCCCAGCGCCAGCACTGCGTCCCTGTGCCGCATTCTTGAGTGGTAGCTGAGCGGGAACACCACCGCCACCCACCTATCGATGCTGAGAGCTGCCATGCTGAGCATTGAGTTTGTGGTGAGGAAGGTGTCGAGGAAGCCCACCACCTGGCAGATGCCTCCTCCGGGGTGCTCCGTGGCGACGAGCCCGACCAGAGTAAGTGGCATGTTGGACACGCTCAGCAACAGGTTGCAAAACGTCAGGTTGAGGATGAAAAGCCCGGGTACCTGCTTGCGGATCTCCGGGTTGTACAGAAAGCAGATCAGCACCAGCACGTTGGACAGCAGCGACACGACGATAATCCCCAAAATCAACGCAGACGCAGCAATGTCCGCTGCGTCCATGGTGCTTAAATATCCCGACTTGCGCAGCGCGCATCCGCGGTCATGTTGCAAGCTATCATGAGTCTGGAGTCCAAATCATGCTTTCCCTCTCCATAAACCCAAAAAGTCGATGAGATTTAACCGGCTGCTCATCTGTTAGGGAATTTGGAAATCTGTTGTCCAGGATTGGGGTCAGAGCGGAAGGGTTGTTTCCTTGAAGCGCTGCGGTGGTTTCCTCCCTGAACATGGGATCACATCTCATCTGCTCCTTGCTGCGCAATTGCGCACCATGATGGGCAGATTGGCAAAGAGCGAAAAAGCAGCTGCTACTTATAAGCTTAAAGTATGTCTGGAGCAACTTAAGCGTTTCCTGTTAAAGTATTCAACATGCGTGTACCTCCTGTCAATAATAACCTTTTAGTGTAAAAATAGACTCACGACGCACAGTGACGTAAGTGGTGAACGCTGATGTCATCTGCTAAACTGTGATGAGAACATACGTTCATGAAAATTGAGAAAAGTTAAATTTGTTCATTTCAAAGAAAAGAGAATCAGCAGCACACTGTTACATCAGCTCGTGCTTCGCAATAAATCTTAAATGACATTTTAAGATGACCCAGTAAAGGTTAGTTGTGATCAGGTCAGTGTTGTGTTCAACTGGGTGATTAACGATCTCTGCCTTTTCATTAACCTTAAATGCTTCTATTACTCACACATGCCTTTTATTTTAACCTACTTTTTTTATGCAGACCAACATTTTTTTTAATCAAAAATAAGTGTGAATAAAAATAATGCCAGTTTAACATGAATACAAAATAAATTTGTGCCTTATATGAATGGAGAAATGCTACAAAAAATAATATTAAAGATACTTATTGCAAGCTACAAAAAGATGGCCCTGCTACCGTATTTTTTGGACAATAAGTTGCACTTAAAATCCTTAAGTTTTCTCAAAAATCGACAGCCAGGTGCGCCTTATGTATTAATGCTGGTTGTGCTTACTGACCTCGAATCGATTGTATTTGGTTATTGTGAATGAGTTGAATAAAGTTTGACTTATCTGACTGTTTTATTTTGCTTAATGCGCCTTATAGTCTGAAAAATATGGTATGTAAAATGGTGCACTTTGAAAGCGTGTCAGCTGTTTTCCATCTATGTTCAAATGCAATTCTGAAATGCAGGTGTGCACTCAATACAAACAAAGCACTTTTGTTTTTGTTGGCACTCTATATTTTTGCGGTGAATGTCTTTAAGTTGCACCTTATTTGTAGTTCAAAGCAAATAAATTGGCTCATAAAGTCCTCTAATAATCAACAGTTCAAGCAGATTGAGATTTTAAACAGCTACATTTGCAATGTTCTTTAATATCATAGTGATGCATTGTTATTGTGATTTTAGCTCATTTTTATTTTATTTTTCATTTATTTTATTGATGCATCAGACATGTCAAAACCATTGCACACTGCACAGGGTGTATCAACATCAACACCAATATGAATCTGTGCATCATACACACCATGTGGCTGAGTGGGTTAGAGCAGTCATCCTCCAATGCAAGAGTTGGGGGTTCAAATCCACCAGCAGTCACATGCTGAAGTGCCTGATGTGTGTCCCATCGGTGTATGAATGCAATAAAACTCTGATTAGTCTTGTTATAATGAATTGTTCAATTACCTGTCTAAATAAAGGTTGAATGAAAAAAATGAATGATTTCCTTGTTTGTACTGAAGTGACAAATGACATGGCTGTGTTTTGTAACATAAAAACTATTGTCTGAAAAAATGACTGTATTGTGATCTGTGGAACATTGATGTTTTTTGATGAACACTATCATGCTTTTAGGGTCAGATTACATCCTGACATAGTTCTAAACGTGTTTAAAATGGATGAACTGTGTTATTTTAAACCATTTGATGTCCAAAGAAAGTACGACACAACAGATTCTTCACTCTTTGTTGTTCCATATTGTCATATAATGGCACACAATGGTCTGTTTTAATGTGTTTTTATGCGTTTTGGCCTGACAAATAAATAAAAAATAATATGTTTTATTTTGAGACTTTTTTTGTACTATTTGTTGTTGTTTCAAATGCATGGTTGAAATTTTAATGTGTATATTTGAGTTTAAAACCGTTACCTACATCATAGCGCAGATTTTAATTTCAGATTTTAACTTGCATAGATTTTTTTTCACACCAAATAAGTTACAGTTCAGAAAATAGTCCTTTATCAACAGCTTTGCTGTGCATGGTTTTAACACTAGTGTCACTTTATATACATAGAGTTAATTTATCAATTAAGTAAAGTAAAATATTAACATTTCAATTTGTAAATATTACTTTTTTATAGAGTAATTTACACTGCTGTGTTCATTCCAAATAACACTATCTGTGTTAAATCATTACTCAATTTAGAATGAATTTAATACTGGAATTTCAACCCTTGTGAAAGAGTAAATTGGACACCATTTCAGAGTGGGACCAAATACAGTACACTCTGAAACAGTGTCACATTTGCTCTATTAATGTTACTCTATTAGTGTGGATTTAACACTGCAGAATTTACTGTGACACACATTTGAACACACAGAACCTCTTGCAAAACAAACCCACATCTGCAAATAAATCTGCTTTGACTGAACACACACAAAATAAAATAAAAATATATATATTACTATTATTTTATCCCAATGTGCACACACCTATCCACGTACACATACATGCACACACACAAATCCCAAATTCAAAATAAATTATGAAACATGTTGCTATAATCAACGTCAGAATCAGCTAATAAAAAAATAAAAAAAAAACTTTCTCTGTTAAAACAGGATTAACAGTCAACATTTCACAGGTTTTATTAGTTCATATTTTTTGCATTCTTTTTCATTTTACAATTTACACATTAACATTTTGATTTACATTAAAAAATATATATATATCTTACACGATTTAACCTTTTTGTGATTTGTACCTAGATGACTGCGCTTACAAACCTTTTTCTTTATCTTTTCATGACCGTTCACCCACAGAGGCTACCAATGAAAAGTTGTAAACATTATTTTTAAACGGAGCCCCCCAAAAAATCTTATTTTTGAAGTGGTAATTAAAATTAGGTTGTTGGCATTAAAATGGTGCATAACTTTATGTTGTTTTTTTTTTTCAAAGCTTCTTGACCAACTAATCCAAGGTAATAAAATGCTGCAGCTGATTAAACTAATCTGTTCAGTCTGAGTCAACACAACTCTTTGTAAAAATCTGCTGACAGCGGATGTCCAGGGCAAACTAAGCAAATTTTGCACCATTAATGATTTTTAACACATGGAAAGATACATATGTGACTATATATTCTTCAGACTATAGAGTGCACTTAAAATCCTCTAATTTTCTCAAAATTTGACAGTGAGACTTACAATCAGGAGCACCTTTGTGCTTACTGATCTTGAACTAATTGTATGTGGTACAGCTGAACATTGTTGAGAGTTATTGTGAATAAGTTGAATAAAGTTTGACTTATCTGACTGTTTTGCTTCACTTAATGTGCCTTATAATCCGTTGTGCCTTATTGTCTGAAAAATATGGTAATTATAAAAAAGGTTTTATTTTCACACACTCACTGAATATTGGATGAACCCATTAACCACTGTCATAGAGCATCTAACATGTAAGGTCTTTGAACATTTCAATTATTGTGTTCAATGAGACTTTTGAAGCAGGAGTGAGAGTTGAAATGACCAATTTGCAAAAACTAATTTAATTCCTATAATTTCACATCCAAAATTAAAAGTCTCTGTGTGATAAATGGCTTTTAATTGAAGGAGATTTCACCCAAAGTCTGGCTTCATGATTCAGGAAACTCTTCTATTTGTTACCACAGTGGTCACGTGTTCAGCTGTTCAACCTTCTCGTTATGTATAAGTCATGAAAAATCACCAACAGAAGCTGGAAGGACTTTTAATTAATACTAGAAAAAATATATAAAAATACTTTTTCACTTCTGCCCTTTCCACTTAGTGAAGAAACAGATGGTGGGTGTTGTGTTCTTTCACACAGCATTAATTCTCTGCTGTGCTCCCAAAACCAGGATAAAGTTCAACTTCATTTGCTTATAGACTTTGAGTTAATGAGGTGAGAGGTTGCAGCCACACAAGGCCATACAAATAATCCTTTCAGAGTCTCTGCAGACACCTGCAAAATGGCAGGAAGGATTTTTAAGGGAAAAAAAAAACTATTTAAAACCCTGTGTAATTTCCTGTTTAGCTCTAAAACACTGGTTAACTGTAGATCTGAGGCAAGAGACTGAGAAGTACCTTTTTATTTATTAGTATATATTTAAAGTATTGTATCATAATTTGGATACAATATATTTTTCACTTTGTTCAAAATCTTAATGTTTTATGATCTGATTTTTTTCAGTTCTTTTGTTTGGTTTTCATTCATTTTCTGTTTGTTTGTTAACTCCAGTAATACATATTCATTGTCTTGTAACATATTTTGTAAACACCCATTTTATGGTAAAAATATATGACTATTCTATACTTTCTAATGATTTTGACCACAACAATACCGAGACATTTTTCATCCGTGTTGAGAAATCCAACTTTTTTTTTTCCTGAGCTTGTGATCAGAATTTAACTGAAGTAACTTTGAGCTCCCGATGTCATCCAAATATGAACCAAATACAAACCGATCTAGCAATGCACAAATGCCAAGAAGCTGATGCTGTAACGATTGCAGCTATACCCAGATATACTGTAAGGACCAATGGAAACAGAGACCAAGACTCAGAATGAATTTACAGTGTTCATTTACAAGTGATAAATAATGCAACAAGCCCAGGAGGAGACTGGAACCATGAAGAACAAAGGGATGACTAGGAATATTGCAGTCAAGGGTGATCATGTTATTGCTGATTTTCCTTACGATGGAGGTTGGGGTCAGACATTGGGAGGGCTCACACAAATGGTTCCAGATGAAGGATGTGTACGTTTGGACGATGGCAGGCGTTAGGCAAGTAGGAAG